CCAGTCCAGTCCAGTCCAGTCAGTCCGCTGGGGGTATACCCCAGCTGCAGTCTGTTTTTTCGGTACTCTTCACTTTCGCAGATCTTGGAGTACTTGCGTGTGGAGTCTGCGTCGGAGCTGCGCTGTCCCCTCCAGCTCCATCTCTACCTCCTCCTTCATCTCCATCCTAACGGACCGCCATCCCGGCGGGTCCGGCACATACATTCTCTTGTCTATTGATGGGGAGCGCCACCTGCTGGAAACTGGGTCCAGCGTCCCATGAACATCGTGAATAAAGGACCAACCGGGACCCCATACACACTCTCTTCGAGTTGTGTATAGCCAACATGACAAAACATACATACAGCATAATGACTACCTTACCCTTCCCGAACCACATAAACAAAGGAACGACGGGGCTGCGCACCCTTGCCCTCACGGTAAGTCAATCGTCGTTTGGTCGTACCGGCGGGCCCAATGGGTTGGAAGGGCCCCGAATTTCCTAGGCGGGAAATTGCAGGGGTCCGGGCAGTCGTTGCTTCCGGAGGACCGGTAACTGCCCTCAGGAGGCCGCCGTCCTTGAGCGGTCCTTGAGTTGCGAATTTCAAAATGGAAAGGGAGCGGGGTCGGGGGGGCCTGGGGCGGGGGCGGAAAAGTCCGAAAGTGCGCAGGCTTGGGCACAGGGTTGAAACGACACTTTCCACAGATGTGTCTAAATGTGGACGCATTCAGCGCCCCATTCAGACACATCTGTCCCCGGTTGTCTGCGTGCCATCTCTCTCTCTCTCCTCTCTCACTGTCTCTCTGTGTCTCTCTCTCTCTCTGTCTCTGATAGTCATTGACCAAGTAGCTCCGAGCGCAACGGAAGTCAAACTGGCCAGAGAAAACGGGCTAGAGGTATTTCTCTCGCTCTCCCTCTCTGCTCTCTCTCTCTCTCTCGTCGCAATAGTCCTTCCACACCCGCACATGAGCTCTCTCTCTCTCTCTCTCTCTCTCTCTCTCTCTCTCTCTCTCTCTCTCTCTCTCTCACGCACACACACACAACACACACACACACACGCACACACACACATACACACATACACACACATCTCTCTCATGGCAAGCGCCCTTCCACACTCCGCCCACGAGCTCTCTCTCTCTCTCTCTCTCTCTCTCTCTCTCACACACACACGCACAACGGGTC